CTTTATTCGCGTTTTCACATGAGTTATTACCTCGCGCGTGTTACGTTAATTTCCATTTTCGACTAAACTGACTAAGTTCCAGAAAAACGTTGCTGGCTGAACGGGCTGAATTAGCTAATGTTAAAGTGAGTTCTAACAAGAAAATCGTAACTCTTACGAAAATCCTTTGTCAAAACTGAATACTCACGTGGTATCTTTACTTTTGAACGAATGTATGTTTCTACTTGATTTGTTATTTGTGGGGACCCCAAACGTTCTACACAGTTTTTTCCGTCGTTCCGGTTTCGATAGTTTTTTTTCTTTATCGTACACTTGATTGATGTACTACCGATTTGTACGCAACACTTTCGATACGCTTTAGAACCACACACGGCTTATCGGTCTCTAGTGACCGATTAAATACTTACTCGCGACCGTTGATCAGTATTTACAACTTGTGAATAACAACCCGTAATGGTATCAAATCAAATTTGACTGTTACAATTTAAAAATGTACATGTATAGAATTATTAAGTTTAAACCGAAAATTGTAAAACTGAAAAAATAAAAATATATTAATAATTAAATAAATAAAAATTGTATAAGCGTAAATTAATCATGTTATAAATTAATAAAATTGAACTTTTTTCTTATAATACAAACTCTATTTACTACCATAAATTATATTTAAGAAATTACGTTTTTTTGCGTCCAACATATATAACTATTATGTACTACAAGTCGATGAAAAAAATACCACAAAAATTCAGAAAACAGATTAGTAAATACATTTATATTTTCTTGTTATCTCGTGTAAGATTTTGGTAATTTGAATTTTCTATGACCTTTGTCACAATATAAATTATGTTAAAGATGGTATGCGTAAATAATTGTACAATATAAAATCATGGAATAAAATTAATTAATGGTTCTTACGTACACATTTAAACTGCCATGGAAATAAAGAATGCAAATTCTTTCTTATTAAACTCAAGTAAATTATAGACTTTGTTTGAAACAAACGACTTACAAGAATAATGAGAAAAACAGAAGTAATCGGAAAATTTAAAATAAGTGTTTTTTTGAAGTAACTGCATTATATTTCTTCAGATTGCTAATACATATAATGATATTTATATAATTAAATTTTTCCATAAAGTGACGATTATTGATAATTAATTCTAACCTAGATATTTTAGAATTAACTATCCATCATCGACACTTTAAAATACCTATATATTTTAAAAGTTACAAAATATCTATAGTATCAATAATATATTATTAATATTATATTATTATGTACATAAAAAAAAAAAAATAATTAAATGCATTGCAAAAAAATTATTTCTCTTCTCCGTATATCTAATACACCGTATATCAGTTTACGTTCCTGAATTCTTGGCAAATATGACTTATATTCCAATGTATAGCTATTATTTCCATAGCATATTAAGATCGTACCAACAACGTTCAGTGTTGAACTATCGATGTAGTTGAATTGGAAAACATCAACTTGGACTTATTCCAATTCGATAACAGAATTTCGTCTTGTATGGTGAATGATTTAAAGTCGGTGTAGTCAATTATTTTTGGCATCACTACTTTTCTTCTCAGTATTTCAATCATAAATCCACACAAATCTCTAGTTAGATGCACATTATTTTTTTTTAATTTTAAAAAAATATGCGTGTTGATTTTTCATTGATTTATACTCATAACTTTTATTAAAATGAAATTCTTGTTTTTTTATGAAATTTATCACTTTAAACATAAAACGGCATAAAACTCTTAAAATATCTACTGTGTCTTTAGTTTATCATATTATTTTTATAATACTTTTTTACCTAATGTATTTAGCAATACACGTTACATTATTTGAGTTATTGCACAATTGTATACTACATAGGTAACAAAACGCAACATTTAACATTTTAGGATTTGCACTAAAATTATGATTAATAATTTAACCAATAATATGACTTAATTTATCAAATTTTTCTTAGAAAACAATTTTTAATCATTAAATTTTATTTTTGATATATGATCCATAAAACATTGTATTTTAAAATCCATATTCGAATTAGCGGCGAACTGAGTAGACAATTTCAATACATTCCTGCGTAGAAGATAAACATCAGTACTGTTTACTCCGTCTATACGTATTAATATTTTAGCTTTGAAATTAACCATTTTGAAAACCAAAATATTGACACATAACACCGTGTTTCAAAAGGGGATTTATCCATGAGAATTTCAAAAATATATGATTGTCCATTTAATTAAAGGTTTAATTTTTTTGTTTTAAGTAGCTGGAGCGTGTCATGTTCTAAGGAGTAATGAGTAGGCATTTTATATAGCATTTACATTTCGGCTGTGTCAGTGTGTGACAAGTAAATGAACATTAATATGAGTTACATATTCGACCGTCTATCGGATACATTACGAATTCCTGGAACTACAATAGTAATCAAAATAAACAAATGCGGCTGTCTATTTTTTTTTTTTTTTTTTTTTTTTTATGATTCCTTCTTCTGGACCGATATTATTCACTGATGCTCGACATTTAATTTCAACTAGAAGCATTAGTGGATATTAGACCGTCAAGAGATTCTGCCAAGAATGATAAGCTAAGGTCTACTATTAGACATATATTTTTATATTCTTTACCATAACTTTTTTTAACTGTTCTTTGGCCATGTGTTCGTGTTGTATTCCATATCTAGTGGCAGCTTTACTTTTTTTTATATTGCAAGTATGGCATAATAATTCCATTTCCTTTTTATCTTTTTTTATCGTTAGAAACGATCTGTTTTTAATTCCACAATGTCAGTATTTTTTTTTTTTAGTTCCATAGTAAAAGTACGTTTTCGCACGCACAGAAACATGTCAAATACCGATTTGATCAAAATTGATGTAACGCGTCTAGAGCGCTCAAAAGACGAATAAGCCAAACAGAATTGCGGTGATTGGGATGGACGGGCTTTATTTTTGAAAATTGATTAGAATTTGTATTCCAGTCATTAAAGTCATTAAAACTACTCGCAAGTAATCACAAGTTTAGAAACGAGTGACAATTCAGATTAATTACATGATCTTCAAAGTGACCTCACACACTAATCGGAAGTAGAGCTGAGTACGAGTTACTACGAGTATTTTCAAAGTTGAGTGATTACCGAATCACGTGTTATTTGTTTACTATCTGATAATTTTCGATCGTTCTCGATTATTTCTGAGCAGTGTGAGAATTACTTCGATTATGAACTAGTGCACTTTGGCTCGGAATAATTTACCACCTACTGGAGATCAATTCCAGTACCACCGCAAGTACATAATTATAGCAAGTATCTAGTTTCACATTATTCACAAGTTTCAAAGATTAATTTAATTGTATAGTATTCATCTGTATTGCGAACAGTGCGAGATCGTCTTAAGATTTGATTGGAAGTTATTACTGATATTCGAATTTACCATTAAGATATTTATAATTTTAGATAACATAAATTTTTATTTTTTTATTTTTTTAAGATCTTAGTCCTTGTTCATTTTTTAAATATGAAAAATATTTTCCGTTGTAACCTAGAAGAATAGTATACTAAGTAAAATTTGTTTTCTAAATTAAAATCGATCAATCTCAATATTACATATTGTTTTTTTTTTGACCCACTTAGGCCACTTCAAATAAAAATATTTAACTCGTCGAAGAATATTGTGACATACCAATATTATTACTTAATTTCTAATATAATGTAATATCATACAAATGGACACTTAAATAATTGTAATTATATTGTAGAAACTATCAAATATTTAAAATGTTTATAATAATTTAATAAATATAAATCAATTATAAATAATAAAGATATACATTTATTTTGACAAAAATAATTTTTAGACATAATGTACCTATTTATCCAGTATAAATGAAGATAATTAATAAATATTAATTGTTAATAAAAAAGTACTATACCCTAAACACATATGTTTATTTAGTTTTAATGCGAAAAAGCTTTGACAATAGTCTTATCACTTTATAATTTTTATATATAAATAGGTTTTTAGTTCTTAGTTTTAAAGTATAAGTGGTGTTCTAAAACATTCAATAAGATTTTCGAAAAACCTGTGTTGAATTATATTTTTTTTATTGATATTGCTAAATAAATAGTCAGGAATTTTAAATGTGTGATTCGTTTTTATAAATTTCATTTAAGTAAATCATGGATTTAATGAGTTTTTCTTTTTATAATATGATAATAATATTTTCTTATAAAGGTGTTCATCATACTCAATTCTAACTCAATATTATAATATAAAACAAATATTCCATTGTTTATGAACAACAATTCATGAAGAAATATTTATTTAAAATCTCATAGGGACAGTTATCAATAAAAGGCCATATTCTATAAAACAAATACATTAACGCATAACTTAGAATAATATTAATCGGAATTAGAATCATAGCATATATTAATAAACGAAATTGATTCATACAAATGGTAATTAAGTAAGGAAATCCCACTTTGCGAGCGTGTCAAATTCCCAATTTCTAAACATATTTGAAATAATTAACTTTAATTTCATGTAAAATATCCAAATATAAAAGTGTGACCTGTATTATATGAGTAGACTTATGTGTAAATCATTAAATTAATTAATTACCTGAGTTAATACATAAAATATGCTTTGTTATAAATTTATCCAAAATACTGAATATCCGTACTGTTACTAAGTATAATTACGATGGTAACTATGAACCAAATTGTTTTGAACTTATGCTTAGAAACATAAAATCAAAACTGGCTTCTACGATCATTAAACGCATGAAATACATGAATTCCATAATATTGCAGTTCACTGTCTTAAACAATATGTTATCAAATATTTAAATACTTTAATAATAGGTGGATTATAGTTTCATCTAAAATATGTCTCGAACAAGATACTTGGACTAAGACGTGCGCGATCCCATGTACAAGCCATATGTTATAATAGCCATGCAATTGGCGGAAGAAAAAAAAAAGTTTTTCTTAAGACATGTAAAGAGTTTTATTTACAAAAAAAATGACAATGAGATGATAATAGCAAATAACTATTTTACACAAACAGAGAGACACGCACGCAGACACAAATCATAGTAACACTGTGGTACGTGCGCGGTTATGAAAAACGTATACTAAGAATTAGACCAGTCTGAGAGCCGTCAGCGGGCTCAGGGCCGATACGATTTGGTCGGCGTTGAGACGGCATGTGAAAAGTGATTAGTAAGCTGGTTTGTACGGTGCTGGGGCGGGCTTGTAAGCCGGGGCCGGTGCAGAGTAAGCGGGTGCTGGGTATCCACCTTCCTTCTTGACCTCGGCGTTGAAACCGTTGTAGTCGTCGGCGGTGTATTCCACGGTGCGCTTGCTGCCGTCAGGTTCGACCAGGCTGTAGGATCCCTTGACGTAACCGTTGGCGTCGGCGTATTCGTTTTGGCTCTTGATGTCACCGGTGTAGGTGTCGTGCACGCTGTAGTCGAAGTTGTACGGGGATGGGGCGGAGTAAGCTGGTTCCGGAGCGTACGGTTTTGGTGCGGAGTACGCGGCTGGCTTGTAGGCCGGGGCCGGTGCTGGTTTGTAGGCCGGGGCTGGTGCTGGGTAAGCGGAGTAAGCCGGGGCTGGTGCTGGGTACGCTGAGTAGGCCGGGGCAGCTGGGTAAGCTGGTGCAGCTGGATAAGCTGGGGCAGCTGGGTAAGCCGGGGCAGATGGGTAAGCTGGGGCAGCTGGGTAGGCTGGGGCAGACGGGTAGGACGGGTAGGAAGGTTCTTTGTAGACGGCCAGGGCGGTGGCGACGGCGAAAGCCGCGAACACGATCAACTGAAAACAGAACAAAAAAAAATACGGTTAGACGGGTAAGACGACGCAGTGCTGTTGAGGTTAACTGCCTAAAGAAATATTTTATCGGTTCAAAGTGGTTTTCCACGATTATTGCGTGTCCGAAAACATCACGAAAACCGGTCGAAGATTCCGTTACACGAGTTAGCGAAAGTATGTTTGTGAACGAAACAAAAAGCAAAACGTTTCCCGTAGATCGCGTGCGAGTCGGACGGTTTTCGGTAGTCCGACTTGTGCAGGACGAGGGCGGACGAGCGACAGCGTCCGTGGAGGGGAAGGATCGACCGCAATAGGGAACGGTCGTCGGTGGGCGCTGTGAGAAGTTCTCGGACGACCTTGTTCGCGCAACCATGACGACACAGCGACGGTCGGCGAACCGGTAAAAGTATCGGAAACCGGTTCGCGGAGCGACCAAGAGTGCAAGTGGCTCGTGCGTTGCGTGTGCGTTCACGATCGATTGAGTAACCCGGTGGCCGGCGGCGATACCATTGCCGTTCGCGTAACGCGAGATCGGAAACTCCGCGAATCGGTCTTTGCCGGTCGATCCACCGGCGGAAACCAAGACATGTTATCCCGGAGCGAGTACGCGGTGCCCGAGCGTCCCGGCGGACGGTGGTCGGACTTGGGCAGGACCGCAAGACTTCGGGCACCGGGATCTGCAAAGAAAGCGCGAGCGCTGGACCGCGTGGCGATGGATCGGCGAAAAGAGCCCGTGAACACGAACAAGAAACAACACGCTCACCTTAGCGGACATGTTGGAGAGTGGACTGTGAGTTGACTGCGTGTAGTGAAACGATCCGGTGAACGTGGACGACTGTGCTGGTGCGGACCATCGGCACCGGTATATATACACCGTCCGAGATTCGAGAGACTTGCCGTGCCGACCGGAGTGCGCGGGCGGTGGCGTGTGACCGCGCCCGGTGGCGGTTGTCCACGGTGAACGCGGACGGCTCCGATCGTAAGTGAGGGCGTACACAGCACGCGCACCCAAGGGGGTCACTGGGTTAGTCCCGGTGTGTTCCCCTCGGGCAAAGGCGACACGGGCGTGTTTGCGGACCGCCGCCGCTGCGTAATACGTGCGTTGTTCTTACGATTATTCTCACGTTAGCCGTAGAATGCCCGTGCGTTCTCAAAAATATCGTTTGCGCGCGTTAAAGTCGTTGCAATGAATCGCTATTGCAATCGAAACAATCATCCGCACAGCAACGTTTCGGTTTCGGTTATTTGACGAGGAATTTTTGTTTTCCCGCTAAAGCGATCGTTAGACGTTTGTGTACGCTGCTTGTTGATAAGGTCTTGAAAATCATTTAAAATACGTATTGCAGATTTCTTGATTAGCATTGTCATTACGAAAACTTCGACTCGGTCGTCATTTTCGATGGATTACGGGATTAAGTCGACTGGGACATAATTACTGATTTTTTTTTTTTTTACAAAAACACAAGTAACATTATAATTTTAATGATTTTATCGACCAACTTCAATTAAATAACTCTATAGTATAATAAATACCATTTGTTTTTAAATGTTATTTTCATTAATATTTTCTTATTGTGTTGAACTTGGTTTTTATTCACATTTTTATTTTACTCCTTATACTATTATGATGTTGAAATTATAAATATCACGTTATTTTATTGTACATATTGCTTTCGGGAACGTACATTTTCATAACTATACACTTTGGATCTTACAGCGTATGGTACTCGTACGTTATAATTTTCAAAAGTATGCATCAATCGCCTTATTCCAACTACTTTTTTTTTTTAACCGAGAAAGCTGTTTTTAAACTTATTTCTTATGCTTATGTTAATGAGCATAACATGAAGATTATTACTTTTCATTATATCGTTTAGTATTTACACATTTTGACGTTATTTAAAGATTATATAATATATTTGAATAATACTTAAGTATCATTTTTCTGAGGAGGTTCTTAGTCTTACCGATTGAACTGCAAAAATATTATGATGATATTTTTCGGATATCATTAATGGGATTATTTCTCCATATAATATATTGTATACATATATATATATATTTATATATATATATACATCAAAGAGCTTATTTGTTACAAAGGAAATATATACCGAGTATAATATAACAAAATAATGGACGCAAAATATTTCTAGTAGGTCATAATAATATATTTAAATATAATAAAATAAATTTATAATTTTTCAATAAAAAGATAATAATTTGTTAAAAAAAAAAAAAAAACGATCCTACTCTTGTCGGTATTTCAAGAATTGAAAAATTCTATATTTAACCGACATATTGCATTTATATAAATTTATGCAGAATTAAATCCAATCCAAAATTTTTCGAATAAACTCTACTGCTCCATCCATCACACGAATAACCTCAAAGCCCATAAACTCCTGTACCTTAAGTACGTATAGTTCTCGTAAAACAAAACCAATCTATAATTAAAAATGTGAAATTATCAAGTATTATTTTTGTCTCATTTACATTTTTTATCCTTAGTAATCCTTCATTAGTTTAAAAAAACTGCATAAATCTAAACAACCTATAATTTTTCCTTTTTCTCATCAAAATATGTCAAAAAGACTTAAAATATCAAATTTACTCTCGGTTCAAATACTCTTGACATTTTTTTTTAACATAATCCTTGTCATAATCTAAATTAATAGGACACCGTGTTTCGTAAGTTTTTCTTTTGTTTAAAAAATAACGGCAGGGTAAAACTGTCGGGTGATTAATAAAATATTGGAAACAGCTGAAGGTCATAATTTTTCTACTACGTTATTTTCTTGTAGTTTCCTATCATTTGCATACTCATTTCTTCCAGATGTTTATAACTGGCTGTTATACTTTCACTTTTTCACCTTTTCGTCACTTTGCAAACGGCTCGTAGAGTATTTCATTTCACGTACTTTTTGAAAGTTCCACGTTTAATTAATAAAATAAAACGCATAGAATCACTCGTACGCATTTTTTATTTTACTTTATAGTTAACTTGTATTACGGTATACACAGTGGCGGTTCGTGGGGTTCATTGAAGGAAGGGCACAAAAATTTTCCTCCTTTTTCATTATCTCAACTTTGAATTTACCAACAATGCCTATTGATTTTTTAAATACAAAAAAAATTGTTTGTGTAGAAAAACCTTTTAATATACACTTATGATGTATGTTGTATGAAAAATAATGAAAAATCTAAAAATAAGAAAATTATGATTTAAAAATAAATAATAATTATAATTATACGCTTAATCAGTAATATTTTTAAATTCCAAATCAATTTGTCTGTCTTTTTTTTCTTCATGAATACTTTGATGTTTTTATTAAATTTAATTAAAAATTATTTAATAAATCAAGTATTGTAAATCTGTAACGTATAAATAAAGCACCGTAAAATGAAAATACATTACACTTAATTAAATAAAAAAATGAACAAAAAATGAATTATATTTATCATTTTCCAACTATCTATGATAAACACTAATTAATGTTTGTTCTGTGCCACGAAAGACGGTCGACAATAACAATACGAAGTTGATAAGGCCGACAAAATCTCGTAAATCGTTATAAAAATACAATTCGGGCACAATACGATTGTGCCCGGCAACGCCATATTATTATAAAAAAAAATGGAGGAAATCTGTCACTGTTGATCGGTTCATCGGGCATAACGAATTTGTGTTTGCCACCTAATGACCGTATAATATAGTATCAGTATGTACGTATTATACGTAGGAATACCCGTATTTAGTACATTTTTTTTATTTTTGATAGTATACTAATTACCAACTATATATGATGGTTAGAAGAAATACCAATAGCTATTAAATTTTGAATTTTTCTTCTTTCTTTCAATTTTATTGGTGGAGCACGTGCACGTATCCCCTATAGCACGAGCCGCTACTAAATGTACAATACTATTCTACAGATGCACAGAAATTTTAAAATATTTACCTGATCCATCACACGTTACATTATCAGGAATTTTTTTATAAATTAATATTACAAAACAATGTCAAAATCGATTAAGCTTTACGAAAATTGTTAGCACATGCATAATATCACTAAAACGTTTCAATCGTACTAAAGAGTTAATTAATTTTACCAATATATTTTCGAACCTTTATCTCGCCTGGGTGTTGTTGAGCAAATTGTTTAGATGGTCATTTAAACCTTATAAATTACAAAACACACATATTTTATATTTACCGATCGATTTTATAAAATAAACTAAATACAATTGTATTGTGCCATAATTATTAACTATTAGATTCGGTTTATTGTAAAAAAATACATTGAAACACCATGCATACACCATAGTTGCATACTAATAACACAAAACACAAACAGTTTAAATTAGAACACTGGCCGTCGTCTTATTCGTACTAATATGATAGTATAACTTAATAGTCTCGATACTATTTCAAATGTTTGTAATAACTTGAACAAAACGTCAATCCAACGACTTCTCAGCATTATTGAGTGCACACAGAAGTGTAATACATCAGCTAACCCTATTGGTGTTACTACTAATTAGTTTAGCTATTGTTTCTCGTCTCGACGTGATACTCGGGATTTGAAATCGTGTTAGAAACTTAGAGGTTCAATATAAATTTGATTTTCTCATTACCGAAGTGGTTATCTCTATCAAAGACCCTATGTCAGTGGTTGATTTTAAATTTCTATTTCTATTTTCAAATTTGGTACATATTTAAGATATTTTCATAGAAGCACTAAAACCACAAAAAATTATTAGTTTTTTATTACAGTTATCTTGAATTAATATTAAATTGAAAACAAATATGTTTACTCTTGTCTGCTGCATATTTTGTTTAAACTATTTTAAATGAACAGACCAATATAATATATTATATTATTATTATTCCAATAAATTAACTTGTTTGGTATTGAAACATTAAAAAAAAATCCTAAATCTTTGGCAGATAACTTCTTTTGCGTTATAAAATTAAAAATTATCGGTGGGTCGGGAGAAACAATAAATTGTGCTTATTTCTATAATTCCATGACAAAGTTTTACTGGTAATGTGAATGACTTATACTATAAGTATTATACTTACAATAGGTCATAATTTATTTTCCTTAATTCCAACTATAGTTTCGGATATATATATATATTCGAAATGTACATAAATCATTATGAATTTTTCTATATTATGTTTGACGTTTGAAAAATAGTTTTCCATTTTCTTTGATAATTTTGAATTCAATATAAACTGTGAAATATTTATAAAAAAAAAATTTTTTTGGTTATTAAAATTACTAAGTTAATTTACAATTTAATTTTAAAATATATTTAATTATAAGCTATTTTTATTTTTTTATTAAAAAAATATTCTGTAATCTAATATTGCAAATACTAAATAAGGAATAATTTTTTATTAGTTAATATGTTCATATTCTATTTTTATATTCCACATTCATAAATCAATTTAAAAAACGTATCGTTTTCATTTCAATAAATTGATACATTTATTTTTTAGTTTAAAAGTAAAACGAAATTGATTCATGATATTATTATTCCGCTCCAGTAATTTTTAATATTTCATCGTAAAAAAAAAGTTTAGGCTTTATCATTTCAAATTATGATAGAAATAAATATTTTCATTCGAATTTTTATTGAATCCAATTGTAGAATTTAGTACACATGGATAATCTTAACTCATTACCAATATATATGTTTATATGATTATTTTTTTTCATGAATAATTTGCATGAAAATAATTATATTCAAATATGATTTTTTATGGTTTATCATGCAAAACATATTACCATGGAACGTATTTTAATGGACGGCGAATGAAATAGGCAATTTCACTACTTTCTTGTGTTGTAGGTAGATACAATTTATTATGGTCATCGTTACAGTCAACATCAATAATCTTCAACCAAATAAGCTAATAACGTAAAATGCTTAAGTAAATTTAACACATTTCATTCATTTATTTAATAACCGATCGATACATAAATAACTAATAAATAATACCATTAGATCTATAAAATTTATTATTTGAAATAATTTTGAATTACCAATGATACATATTGTTAAAAATACTAGTAAAAAATATGAAAGAGTAAAAAATAATTAACACATTCAAAAACAACTTTGACTAAAAAAGTAATCATTTTATGATCAAATTTTAAATTATAAAATTATAGCGAATTTTTTAGATATATTATTTTGATATTTCGTACTACAACAGTTAAATAACATTTTTTGTTGAATTGTGTTATTTTGGTATTTGAATTATTTTGGTAATTGAATTAAATGTTGTAAAAATGTTGAAATTATAATTCGATTAAAAAGTTTAAAAGTGTTTTGTGTATTAAACTTCCCAATGGTTTTCAATTGTTTTCAATACTTTGTTTTAAATTTGCGAGAAAAAAAAGTCATGATATAAAATACAAAAAATTATAATATCTACCTACTATTAAAAACATTTTAAAATAATTTAAATATAATATAATATAATATTATTCAAAGCTTAAATTGTAAATTTTGATCAGACAATAATATTATTAGAATGATTTGGTATCAGATATTTATATATGTTTAAATAAAACGAAATGTAAAAGAATAATCTTTAAATTATATGTTACTATCAAGTAATTTGATAAGTTTACTCAACTGTTGCCCAGTAGCACAAACGATCGATTAAAACAGTTCATTAAGCTGTGATAACGCTTCAATAAACAGTCAGATAAATAATTATATTGTTACCACAAATTTCGTTACGTTGCACAAATTTTTACATATGATATGTAATAGTTCGTTCGTTAACCGTGGTTAAGTGATACTGATAACAAAAAAGTGATAAAAACTTATATTATCAATTTAATCAAAATTTAATCATCAGGGCTCGAGACTTGTATAGCATTTGCATATTTTTTTGTAGTTTATGAATTGATAGCAGAGTAAGCAATAAATCCATTTCAGACAAAAATGAACTCAATACTAAAAGTTTTTAGTGCATATTTTTGCATATTCTAGAGGTTTTGCTATTTTTTCGACTATTTTGCTATTTATTGCTAATTAATGTAAAAATCGAAAACTCAGTCCTGCAAAAATACATATTTCGACCACTCATCAGTGATCAACAGTTTTGGGACGTTATAAAACTCATTGTCGATTGAAAAAAATATTCCTAAAATATCCCAATGCAAGTCAATATTTTGTTTATCGTATCTTTTATCTTAATGTTGTTGTTGTACACAACATTATTAAGCAATAACAGATCTTACAAGTTTGAAAATATTCGGAAACACATAAATAATACAGTGCAATTATGAAGGTACAAACTGTAAGTTACTTTTTAATGATTTATTAATTTGAAATAATTATATTTTACAGATTGGCAAAATTCGACACATACAAATTAATGAGAACAGGAAAGAGTTTTTAGTCATTATTTGTAAAAAATTATAACTGTAAAATTATATAAAAATTTTTCTTTAAATTTTAATAATTATAAATTCATAAATGTCTAAATAAAAATTTTAAATAAATAATTTTTAAAGCATATTTTCATATTTTTAGTGCATATTTTACATTTTTTCGGTGCAAATAATAGCGCATATTTCATGATTTATTTGTGCTATAACTCTCGAGCCCTGTTAATCATAATCGTTTTTTTTTTTTTTTTTAAATATATAATATTATTTCCACGTATTTTTACCAATGTATATATATATATATATTAACATAATAATTATGATAGAAATTAACAAAAGAAGCAGGAATGTTACAGATGTAGAAAAAAATATTTTATTGGATTTAATAATATCTTAAATATCAATAATTGGAAAATATTTTATTAAAATTAAATAATCAATTTAATCGATTTAAATTAAAACAAAACAAAAAAGTAGAATTTCAAAAAAAGCAAAATAATGTAATAAAAATTACAATTTACAATGTTGATAAAACTTTTATCAGTCGATATAAAACCAATAAAGTTATAGAATTCTATTGAATATTTATCGAACCGAAATCGGGTCTACAACATATCGAACCGATAACACAATTTTTATTGGATTGATAAAACTTATTGGTCCTTTGTGCAACCTGTAAAATTTTTATCGATTCGATAACCTAGTTATTGGTCCGATGACCAGTTAATGGTCATTTGTGCAACCGGGCATGTATGTAGTTTACTGAGTATAATGCTATGTCTACCAAGTAAATAGTTGAAATATTATTTTGAAAATATTATAACTTTATAACTTTGAATTCTATGGTTTCGAGAAATACATTTATAAACATTTGAAAATCTGTTGTGGTATTTTTATTAATAAATACTTTTGTCAAAAAATGTAAATTCACACTGGTGTGAATCCAAGAGATTCTCATTATTTTTATAATTCTCACAGCTGATTAAGAAAGTCAATGCAATTTTAATTTTATTTCAATTATTTTACTTCCTCTCCGTCTTGATTCTTTTTTCGAGTTATGATGATGATAACATGAAAAAAATTGAAATAGGTAAGAAAAGCAATGCATTGTAGCAGCTATTTATATCTGTAATAATATTATCTAGTACGTAATTTATATTAAAAATTAAAATTTAATCTTCGAGTTCATACAAATGTTGACAACAACTCTCTAGATAAATATTAATAATTATTTCACCATAGTCTACGCAATAGGTTTTACGTTCATATATTACTGTATATTATAAACTAGTATAATATTATTTATTTTAACAACTCGTATATGAACAAATTCTATAAACGCATTCGAGATACATTCACTTTTTCTCGTATAGTTTAAATGAATATACAAAAATACTGTTTACGATCAATGTTTTAAATTTTCGTGACGCATGCATTTTCCTTTATTTAGTATTCCGGAACGCTCGTGTTGTTTTAATATGGAAATGAGATACGAAATCATAAATGCTTTAGGGTACTTTTTTTTTATTTTTTGTATTTTTTCAAAATTTTTTAAATAGTTAACCATATTAGAGTAACGTGGTAGATAGATAAATATCCACAACAAACATTATTTCAACTTTTATTTAGGAAAACTGAATGCACTCTCTGGTGCGTAATTCAAAGTTAAATCGAATATAAATATAAAAAAAATAATTACTTTAGATGTATGTACATAAATTAAGAATCGGCTTTTAGAATAAAAAATAAAGTAGGCAATAAAAACCTGGCAATTATTAAAAATATAAAATATAATACGAATTATAAAAATATGCAAACTTTGTTGGCCATTTCTATTATTCCTAATGAATAAAAGCGAGACAGAAGTCGATACATTTACACATGGTTATTATTGTTATTATTATCATGATGATATTTATTTCTTCATCAAAACGGTTTAAATTATTATTTATATTCTAATCTGAACCGTGGGTTATGCATTTGTGTGCATATTGTTCGCAAATGATCGTGTACTGCAATTAAACAGAGTGTTTTTCTCACCGTGAGGTGTACGTATACAATTTACATGTTGTATTATAGAATCCATATCGGGATAAATCGTGTGCTTGCACGGACCGGTATTGCCTAGAGGTATAAAACATTTACCCGTCAATGCACGCGTGGATAATGGAAAGTCGTGTTAGATTTCTCGTAATAAAATCCAAGCGAACATTTGATACTATTCGTTACGAAACATATGACATTTATTTACAAAAAATAAAATGAAATTGATGGCAATGACAGAAATGAAACAAGAACAGAAAAAAAAAAATCACAAACATATTATAACATACTCAGCACAATGCAGTATTATGCGGTTGCATTAACGTGTACTAAGAATTAGACCAGTCTGAAAGCCGTCAGCGGGCTCAGGGCCGATACGATTTGGTCGGCGTTTGAGACGGCATGTGAAAAGTGATTAGTAAGCTGGTTTGTACGGTGCTGGGGCGGGCTTGTAAGCCGGGGCTGGTGCAGAGTAAGCGGGTGCTGGGTATCCACCTTCCTTCTTGACCTCGGCGTTGAAACCGTTGTAGTCGTCGGCGGTGTATTCCACGGTGCGCTTGCTGCCGTCAGGTTCGACCAGGCTGTAGGATCCCTTTACGTAACCGTTGGCGTCGGCGTATTCGTTTTGGCTCTTGATGTCACCGGTGTAGGTGTCGTGCACGCTGTAGTCGAAGTTGTACGGGGATGGGGCGGAGTAAGCTGGTTCCGGAGCGTACGGTTTCGGTGCGGAGTACGCGGCTGGCTTGTAGGCCGGAGCCGGTGCTGGGTATGCGGAGTAGGCTGGAGCCGGTTGGTAGGCTGGGGCCGCTGGGTAGGCCGGAGCCGCTGGGTAAGCCGGGGCAGCTGGGTAAGCTGGGGCAGCTGGGTAGGCTGGGGCAGATGGGTAGGACGGGTACGAAGGTTCCTTGTAGACGGCCAGGGCGGTGGCGACGGCGCAAGCCGCGAACACGATCAACTGAAAGAAAACAAAAATCGAAACCGTTAGGCTACGGTTGGATTAGCGTAGACGTGAACCGTAAGACGACGGTTGACACTAGCGATGGACTTAGCGAGAGGAAAACCCTCGTCTCCAAAGGACTACAGGACGCGAGAGCAGCAGCGGTTGTTCTACGGTCCGGAATTTTTGCGGTCGACCTTGTCCGTGCGCGATCGTATCGCAATGACGTTGGACATCAACATGAGTAAAAGTTGTGGAAACCGGTCGCGATGACGATCGAGCACCCGAGCGATGTGAGTGTTGCGTGTTCGATCACGATTACGTGCACGTATTGAGTAACACGCAGACACGCACACACATATACGACTGGTCTCTCATACCTACATCGAACCTACCGCGGGCCGAACCTAGCCGGTCTAATATTCACTCGTGGTTAGATACAGATTATAGGAGGAAAATATTTGAAACGTTCGATCGGGTGTACAGGAGAAGAAGCACCGTAGTTATCGGGTGTTTATGGCGTTCAAGTCTCCGCTCCGGAAAATGTAATCGCGCTAGTGTTATTTTACGCGACGGTCGAGTGCGGTCGACTCGGTGAAATCCGTCTCGGGATCGTCTCTATCGAAGAACCGTAACGGAAGGGGAACGGTGTACGCGAACGCGGTTACCCGAACGAACAGTCGGGAGGGGAAACAGTAAACATAATGAAAACCATACTCACTTTAGCGGACATTTTGTGCAGGATATTCGTGACGCGATGAATGTTGTGTATGTTAGGTAAACCGTTGACGGTGTTTGTTTATCGACGACTGTGGTTGAACGAACGGAGCGCGCAGGTATATATACGCGGGCCGACAGTCGCGAGGATCGCCCTAGCCGGGAGAAGCGGCGAGGGCGTGCGCGCCCGAGGGGGTCACCGGGTGGGCCGGTTTCCCCCTCGGGCGTTCGGGTGACCGGCGCGCGCGATGCTGTTGCTCCACCCTTCACGTGCACGTAACGTCGTAATAACGTCCTCTCCGCCCGGTCTTCGGTGCCGGCGCGCGAATAGGTAACGGAGACGCGAGAACGAGGAGGAAAACCGTAGAACACTAGTCGTGGTCGCGCGCGCCAGCCGTCTTTTGCCATCTCTCGTCCCGGGCACTCCGAGAAATACGGTGAAGGTCTTCGAGATTAGTCTGTCCGTCGAACAAAGAACCACCGAATCCGTTAAGGTACTCGTCCATTACGAATCATGATCATTATTGTAATGGTAATGCGTTTACACGTTATCTTTCTGTTTTTTCCCTTCGCCGGCAAACGGTAATTAACGTCAGACCACGACGGTTTTTCGGCGCAGGTTGTATCGAAATAAATACCATTTTTGTTTTCCCCCTCGAACCTAACTTTCTGTATGAATATGTTTTTATTGTTTATGCGGTTAGATTTTGTTGTGATTATAATCATTCTTTCATCCCATGACCATTGAAAAAGCATTCAGTTAAATACACCTACCTACTCTTAGTTTTGAAATTATATTTTTCAATAAATATTTTCTCCTCGGTTTTTTCTATATTATAATATCAAAAATTGGTGGTGAAATTCATTTATAAATTGTTTTAATTTCGAGATGGTTCAAAATTCATTAATAAAATCTTTCTTTTTTTTTTATTAAATCTTATATAAGGCAACATTATAATATTATATAGCCGGTCGAAAAGTTTGGCTACTACAGTTTTTAATAACTTAAGATAAAATTGACCGATAACACTTAAAAGAACTCATTAGACTAATTGCTAATTATATTAAAATAATATTCATAATATTTTCATGTAATTAAATGGATTCCGCACTAGAATTTAAGGACTTCTGCATTTCCTAAACATCATATAATATTATATTATATAAAAATTAAAACAATTTACAAATGAAAAGAATAGTTTTTATATTAAGTTGAATAAATACTAATTTTTATTATAACATAAACGATTTGTATTATAATCTATAATGATTTATTTGGATAAAGTACTTATCATTCCTATAGGTTCTTAATATATATAATAATTTTAAAATTACGAATTTGAAGATTTAAATATAAATTGAAATGTCCTTCAATGTGAACCATTAAATTTTACAAATTAAATCGTAAATATATTTCAAATTCTCTAACTTGGAATACTCATTGAATAATAATAAAAAAAATCAAGAACTAGATTTTTATAAAAAATAAAATAAAATACGATTTATTAACCATACATATTAGTATTTGAAATATATTTTATATAAGTAACATTATCCTATTTTTGTTACGTATTACGATAAATTATAAATAAAAAATTGAGTTTATAAAATATGATAGACACGTAAAATATAAAGTGATTAATAATCCGTTATAGATCCCGCCGAAATCGGCGTAAGAATATTTTGAATTTAAATTTATCTATACGAACGAAATAAGTAAAAGTACTTTTAATACCGTTCGACGCAGTCTCGAAATGTAAAATAATTTCTTTGTTCAGATTTAAACAGTTATACAACACTGAGACACACCCAGATTATAAGGTTTCGTGTACACTAGTATCCTACATATGCTACTAAAAGTAACAATTTGTTAAGCTGATTAAAGACGTATTATACATTTAAACTCGTTATTCGAATTTTAATATGACTATTTTATTGAACCAACGTTACATTAGATTTAATTTCTCAATACGTTATACGTAGTATAGATTAAAATATTCATGTTTTGTTATAATATTGTAAATAACTTTGAAAAAGTACGAGAAATGTATCCACTAGAATAATTCCTTAAATTACGATTATTCTAATAATAATACATTCACTATATTTACTACACGTATTCGATTCCATAAAACAGTGACTAGCGAATATTACGTGGTAAAAAAAATCCGCAGCTGTTATATTATGATTTCATATTATAATATTTATAGGAATTAAGGTATGATTCCATACAAATATTGACCGCCAATTACCGTGCACTGCAGTGCCATATATTATCAGTCATACTAAAACGAATTAAATTACTCTAGTGTTGTTCTATCGTAATGTATATGGAAATGGTCATACTAGGATCACAAGTGATATTATAATTATACTCGTGTTGTACGAAATGAAATTGTCAATTTTCGGAACACCAAGTACATGACTTAAAATATAATCATAATAATAATACGAATATGAACACAATATATATTATTATGACACGTGGGCTCTATCGAGTTAAAATTAAAACTCATTGATTGGTGCGTACTTGGATTTTTTGAAGCACAAGGTGTACCACGATGCGTAGACTCGAGACTAAAGGGGTCAAAAGATCAATGAAATTATGTACGCAGGCACACAGACAAGGACGAATATAATGAACAAGAAAACTGTTAAGGATTTATACCAATTAGATGCATGCGAAGAAAAGTAAAAGGAACAAACGAAAATAATATATCTGATAATAAAATTGATGAATTCGAATACGGATAATAATTAATTTTGCTCTATTAGGCAATGCACACCAATGTGTTTTTATTATTATTATTTCACTTTCGCAATTTGTCGTTATAATAATCAACGCGTATGATTTTTGCGATATTTAATAGAGTAAAAAAAAAACGAAAAATATTAATAAAAAAAATTAAACTTTTTAAATTATTTAATACTTCTGTTGAAATTATCCAGACATATAAAAAGGTGCTTATTTTGGGTTGGGATGGGGAGTGGGTGATTAACATTATTTAAAATTATTGCGTCTTAAATAATGTGCAATAAAGTGGTATATATCGTATATCTTCATTCATGGTTACTACGATATGGTCTTTGGAGAGGGCGATTGCTTTCATACCCTAAATTACGTAAATTACGTGCCTGGCATTGTCATTAGTTTTTAAACACAAAATTTTCTTCTGTGACAATTTCTACGATTTTTTGGTGCAAAAATATATATAGTTTTGAATGATTACAATTGATTGCCCGAACAACGTGTCAATATATTATTTAGTATTTGATTTTCGGTTCGCACATAAGTATATTGTGTTCAGGTTTCACTGTTCCGCAAAAAATTGAAGAAAATTTACCACTTATTAACTGAGTCTTCAATTTTCATTTTTTAGCAACCAATCGCTTTCCACGCGTATTAAACACAGTAATATACATAGCAGACGAAACGGTCGTATACAAGACGGTTATGATTATCTAATACCTTCATCTGTTTCAGTAATTTCAAGTGAGGTGTTCGAAATTACCATTATAGTTATATTTATCGGTTTCGGATACGATTCGATGAACAGATCGATTACAGCAGATCTGCGGGATTCACTGGAGCAGTCTACCGTCGATGTTATTCAGTACATATTTAATGTCAAACGAATTTATATGTGCGCACTTGATGCATGCTTATTCTTTGGTACTAGAGGCAATTGTTTTGTTGAAGATAATGTGCACCGTAATTTTATCGAATAAAATATATAAATAAAAACTATCTGTCTGCATTTATGTATATATGTTTGTTGGTTTTTTTCAACATTCGTGTATATTCATATCGTAATCTTTGATCTAAATATCTTCATTTTTTCCCCCTATCCTGTTTCATTTCATAAATTTATATCACGCGAAAAAAATTCAACGACGATAAAAAATAAAATATTTGAACTTTAAGCTACAGATAAGTAAAAATGAATTTAATTAAATGATAAAGCAAAAAATTCATAAATTCTTTATAACAAATCATACACACATAACTGTAGTTATCTCAACTAATTCGTTATTCCCCTCAAGGCCACGCGAAATGACTCTCATTGCGGTCAGTCATTCCGAAAGAGCATCACGGCAGGTTTTAGGAACACCGAACGCCATTACAATAATCGATCACCGAAAAATATAAGCCGCCGCAGCTTTAACAGCGATCAAACGATTATTTTAATTACATAATACACTGTCGATGATTATTGTATTACAGTTGACGTTTCTATTGATCAAACTATGAATTTGTGGCATTGTCATTAAAATCGTGTTTCCGAAACCGTGCTATTATAGGTGGCAAATGTTGTTGGATTCCATATTGGTTTAATGTAATATAGCTTTACAATTTTATTTCCAAGCAAAAACTGTTATTTATCATTACAAAGGTAGTTGACTGAGTCGATTATTATTGTGCATTACAGAGTTCATTAAAATAATATAATTCCGATTATATTTTAATTATTGTAATGGCAGTTACAGTTGTTAACTGTCTAGTGTAGATGGTGCAGGGTTAGGAAATTTACAAACCTGTAGATAACAGATGGGTCGATCGGTTAAAAAAATATACGGTTTATCTATTATAAACTGATGTGTTTGGAACAAAAAACATTATGATTGCTTTTATTCTTAAACACTTATTAATATGTGAATGAAATACGATTAAGGCCCGCCAAAGTAACATGGCAAATGATGTAGCAAATGCGTAACAACAAAATTACTTATGGTGTGACACAACGCCCACCTATGTATCTAGGTAACTAGTAGCACCAGTAGTCATTATGTCTTTTTTCTCGTCGGATGATGAAAATGTTATAGCATTAGTGAATTTAATCGATGATAAAAACGCAAATAATAAAAAAAAAAAAAAAAAAACAATATTGGGTTCATTCATACTGGAAATAGAATCAAAAAATTAAAAGTAATGTTTTTTATGTATTCGAAGAATTGTCTGGCTATCCAGAGCGATTCCAATTATTTTATATAATGAAATAATTAATATAAATAATATTTATGCTCAAAATGTTTACCAAGTGAAATTATAATTTATATAAAATTATTTATAAAATCTTTTCTCGAGTATTATCGATTAAGTTTTTGTTGCTGTAGTCCGAAATATTATGGTTATAAATACATGGATTGGATTTAGTAATATTAAAAAAAAAAGTATATCAATATTTGGATCATCTTTCATTTCAAAAAAAAATTAAAACTTTCAAACTTTTAAAATTAATATGATGAATAAATTAAAAACTTTTTCAAGCGTGTGCAATACAGCACAATTCACTGTCATATTAGTTTAGTTGGCAATAAATATATTTCTTACATATTTTTGATACAAAGTAGCCTACTTGATGCACGCCACTTGCTACATAATTTACCATTCCACACGCCTCGTGACTTTGATAGACGCTTGGCCTAATACGTTTAGATTCTTTACATACATTAAGTGTAGATGGTGATGGTTCGGACCACTGAGATAATACATATATTTTTTTTATTAGTCATCATCGAACTATAAATGTTTCACTATGCATTTAGTATCAATAAGCAACTGAAAAATAACAAAAAATGCGAATCCATAGTTGAAAAGAAACAATTTCTTTGGACAAAATTATTGACCCAAAAGCTAAAATTTAACGATAAAAATATTTAATAATTATTAAAGCTAAGTAATATTGGTATTTCATACGGATTATTTTTCTAAGAAATAAGATAGGTATTTTGATGGTTAAAACGTTTTTTTTTTTTTTTAAAAAAAAATAATGAATAAATGAAAGGCATAAATAACAAATGTTGACTTTTATAGTTGATAAATTTGATTAAATTGATGATTCAGTCGATCGTAAAAAGTAAAAATAGTTATAATTTATTCTACATACCAAACTTTTGGTTGCACGATTGATTAAAAAAGTAATTCAATTAAAAAATAAGTAATTACACATAAAACTAGTTACTAATTAAAAGTGAAGATTTGCATTTTTTGTTATAATATTTAGGTATGTTTGAAATATAATTTGATAATCAACGGTAACAAGAAACTCATTTTATTTTACTATTTAAAAACTATTATGATTTTAAACAACATTTTGAATCCTGAGTGTAGCGAATTGGATATGATTTTAAAATTATTATTATTTAAGAGCCACATTGATAAACTATGAATGTCGATCCACACATACATAATGGTGTTCAATGTCTTAGAATACTACACATTGATCCGTAATCAATAGCTGCATACCAATGGTGTTGTTCTTTATACAGCTGTGGTACATTGATACGAGTATGTGAATTGCTCTACTAAAATATACCAACTCAGCAACAACGCGATAACATTGAGCCATTAGAGCGTGACATGCATAGACTATACGAGATTTTATTTTCGATTTTATGTAAAATCTTTACTCTGTGATCTATGCGTACATATGAGATATTTGCACATACCATAACATTGACCGTCAGAAAATTTGTGTCGTCATGTAAAAATAATGTGAAAATTTTTCGCACGTTTCGTAAAAACAGAGAGAATAAGATGTGCGTATTTAGAAGGGATGCATGTACAAAATTATTTATTTTTTTTACTCCTTGACTTGACCAAAAATTAAGTTAATAAAGGGCGTTTATATTATTGTTGTGGGCCGGGATATCTTGGCACGTCGCACAACAATAAAAAAAA